GATTTTAGCTTTAAATTGAAAATTACCTTAATTTTATTTTGTTTTCTTTTTTTTTTCTTTTTTGTTAAAAATGACAGTAATATTAACTGCTGGGAGTTCCTATAAGTATATTAAGGGATTTTGACATACTGTGAAACCTTCCTCTTCTCCTGACAACACTCTGCTGAATGGTCCCAATGCTTGTATATGATATGTTCAGTTTCCTGTGCCTGTGCAACCAACAAGAACTCCAAGGATGCCATTTCTAGCTGCTGCTCCTGTTGTCATGGAAACAGGTGTCAGAAGTAGRTACTTTCAAACTAATCACAGTTTCATGTAAAAAATGAGAAACTGGGATTATGTATGAGTGTCCTCTCCTGTCTTTTTTTAAAATATGATCTTTGATAGATGTTTTGTCTACATCAATTATTTGCTATACTTTTGGTGCACTCATTGGAGTGAGAGTTGATGAGCTCCCATCCATGAATGTGTGAGGTGCTTGGTACAGTCTCCAGGTAACAAATTACCAATCCTTACCATATCTTTCCATAATTGATGGAGTATGAAGCTGCTAGAGCTACTGCAATTATTTTGAAATTTTAATCTATTTTAGCACATTACTGAACCTAAAATCCAATCAGTCATTCCTAGTTATTTCATGGCTGCTTTTTTGATGAAGTATCACCAGTGTCATACCATAATAGACTGGCTTTCCTCACCTGTGGAGTATCCAAAAGTCACTTCTATTTGGATCAGGTGTGGCTGAGTCCCAAATTCTCAGCCAGTCTGGTAATACCCACTGGCCAGTGGAAAGAGGAGCAGCTGCAGTTGATCCATGATCCTTTTGGCCCAAAAAGCAAAACTGTTCTCAGTTTCAAAATTAAATCTGCTGCTCTGTGGGATCTTTTTCAATAAACTGATCTAACAGAGGAGACAACCAGCTAGCCCAAAAGAAAAACAGTGAAATTCTGATCTCTGTGATGATTATATAAATTTAATCTGGGAGATTGGGGATGTGAAATTGTCCATCTCATCTTAATGTAGCTACATGCTATGAAGAGTGTGATTATATTGCAGAAACCCCCAAATCATAAGGTGAAATGAAGCATCTGAACTACTAAGTAGGCAGGTGCAATCCATATAACATGAGCAAGTAATSATGGCTTAGTATCAGAAATAAGAGGTGTGCCACTGGAAATGCAGGATATCTGAAACAGGGAGGACACAAGCAACCTAATTGATAGGTAAAATTCTTTGCCAGAAGAATTAAACAGGTTTTCATGCAAACACCATTATTTCCCTACCCACTACCTATCCAATCACACAGTTCCACCTGACAAAATGGGAGGATTTAAGACCCACAGGAAAATGTCAGAGACTTTCTAGATRTGATGAAGACAGTACTAGTTAAACAAGGAAACATCATATCTTGTTGATTACAGGCTCTAGACGTGTCTTTCACAGATAAAAGCTTTTGGTGAAACCCTTATACAGAGCAGCATCTTCCTTAAAAAGCCTGGACAGTCAGAGGAAAGAAGTGCTACTGGGCTAACTGGAGTACAATAACATAAAAAATAAYAGGAACTGTGTGAGTTTGCATCTCTGGTGACCAGCAATGAGACCCAAAGCAATGGCATAAAGTTGCATCAGGGGAGATATAGGCTGGATAACAGGGAAAGGTTTACACCTAGAGGGTKATTGGGCACTGGAACAAACTCCCCAGGCAAATGGTCACAGCACCAAGCCTGACAGAGTTCAAGAAGTCCTTGAASAATGGTGTCAGTCACATGCTGTGATTCTTGGGGTGTCCTGCACAGGGCCAGGAGTTGGACTCAGTGATCATCCTGGGTCTCTTCCAACTCAGGATATTCTATGATTMTACAAAAATTCAAACTGGACYGTTYGAATTTTGAAYTGAAAGTGCAGACAGAACAAGAAAAGGGTTTTTTTCCTCAAGCTTGAGTCAGCTCATTATGTAAATGTATAGCAAGTGAGCAATAAACAAATGATCTGCCATACCAAGAGGTAAGCTTCTTTACATCCTGCTCAAACTTCTCCAGATGCCGGAGGAAGGGTGCAGTTAAAATAAACTGCCTTCTGTAAAAGAACTAAGTTTTTCTCTTTCAAAAAGCGTAAGAGTTTGTTTCTCACGAATTGTGCTCTTTGGGTGAAAAGCAAATGAGGAGWATTAAGCAAGTTATCATTTGGGTTTAAATGAGGAAACAATTCCTGGCATTCAGGCTGCTGCCAGGGAAAACCTGCAATGCAGACTGCAGTGCTTTAAAAACCCCATGACAAAAATCCAGAAGAGATATCATTAATAACCATTTTTCACTATCATGACTAAAACTAATCTTACAGAAGRCCCAAATGATGATTTTTTTCTCCTACTTCACCAAGTCTCTGAAGAATCTCTAATCCACAATGCAGTATAACAATATTTATTTTATAGATCTCTCTCTGTAGGCAGTGTGCTTTCAGCTGCTAGACAGGATATTCATCACATGCTGTGCTGGTGGCTGTCCCACAGCAAATGCAGGACCCTGTCCCCACAGCAGCTCTGAGGGAGCCCTGGATTTGTTTCATTACTTGCCTGGTCTGGGACTGTTGATGAACTTTGTTACCATCATCCATCTCTGTCCAACATGTTCACACAGGACACATAGACACAAAGATACTCTTCCTATGAAACAGGCTGAGAGAGCTGGGGTTGCCCAGAATGGAGAAGAGAAGGCTCCAGGGAGATCTTAGAGC